GGTTCGGTCCATCCAGGCTTTAGGTGAGTGGATGGGAGTTGGAGGAGGGGGATGGGGGTCGACAGCGTGGAGATTGGGGGTTCATGGTGGAGTCGATCGTCTCCTAGGGATGAACTTGGCGCTGTTCCGGACCGAGAGCGGGGTGGCGTGCGTGACGGATGCTTACTGTCCGCACTTGGGGGCGAACATGGGGGTCGGTGGGAGGGTGGTCGGGGAATGCATCGAGTGTCCCTTTCATGCATGGCTGTTCCAGGGATCCGACGGGAAATGCTCCTACTCGCCCTATACTGATAAAGGTGTCTTCTGATTTTTTAAGGATGTTATTTTTTCGCGATGTGTTTTCCATTTTGACAATTTTTTTATTCCCTCAGCGCCGACATTCGCGAAGGTGAAGACGCACCTGGTGGACGAGGCCATCGGGTACATCTGGATTTGGTTTCACTCAGAGGGAGTAGAACCGACTTATCGAATCCCTCGACTACCGGAGATCCACGAGCAGAACTGGAAGTACATGGGACGGACGGAGCACTACGTCAACGTCCACATACAGGTAGGCAAGAGGTGGAAAAATCGGAAAGATGTCACACGTGAACGATTTTCGGGAAAACGCGAACACAGGACATCGCGGAGAACGGAGCGGACATGGCCCACTTCACCGTGGTGCACGGACCCGTGATCGCCATGGGCAGCGACCTGAGGAAGGCCGGCTCCTCCTTCTGGAAGGCGATCCATCACACCTGGAATGCGACGTGGGCCCCGCTGCCCCATCCCGAAGGACACGTGGGACACCTCGACGTCGTCCAGAAACTTTCTTTCTTCGACAAGTTCTTCACGATGACCGTGAAGGGGAACCTCGACATGGTGAGACTTCGCAGAAAAAGAGGTTTTTAAAATTATTTTCCCATCCGTAAACGCTCTGGTGGGTGCAGGTGGGACCCAGCCTAGTGATCATGCGCCTGTCGGGGGCAGCCATCGGGGACGTGCTCATCGTCCATTCCGTGACGCCGGTGGGTCCCTTGATGCAGCGGTTGATCCACCGCGTTTACACTTCCCGGACCTGGATGGCCCCGATCGCGAAGCTTTTTCTCTTCGTCGAGGCGATCAATGTGAGTGCCGCAGTGGCGACCACCGCACCTGTGCACGTTCTTGCTTTTGTTCCGTTCCAGCGAGATCTTTCACCCCCATTCTCAACCGCTCGTTGGCAGATTCTCGAACGGGACATGATGGTGTGGAACAACAAGCGCTTCGAGAAGAATCCCCTTCTCGTGAAGGAAGAACGCCCCATCCAGGAATTCCGGCGTTGGTACTCCCAGTTCTATTCGGAGAACAGTCCCAAATTCGAGTTCTCTAACAAGTTGGACATGCAATGGTAGGGTGGGTCCGAGGGTCCCCCGTGATCCGCGATGCCGTCCGCCTTCGTTTCCCTGCCGCTATCCTTCTCGTTCCCCCTTCCCACTGTAAATATGGACGGCTTTCTCGAAGCTTTGGGGCGGTGATGGGATTGGGTGTTTCAATACGGATTGGGTATTTCTGAGAATTCGCTGCCACTCGGTAGCCAACATTTAAAACTTTTTCTTCTTTTCCTTGTGTGGTTTAATGATGTGATCTAGTTATTGCTGTGTCTCCTTCCCTTGCCACTCAATCGTGTTTCCATCCATTGCGTCTGCATCAGGCAACTGACGCTAATCGTCTGACGAATCGGCCTCCCTTGGCGACCCCGAATGAGATCATTCTGTGATAGGTCTGATTATTTTGTCAAAAGACGAATAAAATGTGCGTCTCAAAAGTCCCTCATTCTCTTGCACCCACGTCTCTGCCGTGGAAGAGAGGAAGAAGACGGGCAGCACTGGCGAAAGTGGGGAATTTCTCGGGATGAAGTCCATCCAGTCGATGAATGCAGATCGACGCCCCGATTCACAGGCGTCGAGGGATCCACAACGAAAGAAGGGCAACGCGAGGCGGGGTTCGAGTAGGTCTCGCATCGACTTCCAGAAGAAGCGTCATCATCCATCCATGGCAAGCCACGATCCGTCAGTCGCTTCCCCCTCCCCCCCGTCCTCTTTATTTTTTATTATAATTTTGTCAAAAGACGAATAAATTGATTGTCCGTCTCGAAAGCCCCTAGGGCCGGATTAAAGGGGGTGGGGGCAAAGTGGGCTGTTGCACTTCGCCCCACTCTTCCATGGAGCCCCCCTCCCGAAGGAAATTAAAAACGTAACGTATTTGCGCAAAGTAGCGAGGTGGGGGGGGGGGGGGGGGGGGTGGAAGGAGCCACAAGAATCTACTAGCCCAGGGCCTTGCAGCTTCTTAATTCTACCCTGAAAGCCCCTCATTCTCTTGCACCCACATCTCCGCCGTGAAAGAGAGGAACCAGACGGGTACCACTGGCGAAAGTGGGGAATTTCTCGAGATGAAGGCCGTCCATTCGATGTGAATACAGATCGACGCCGCGATTCACAGCAGGTCGAGAGATCCCCATCGAAAGGACCCGCATCGGCTTCCACGAGAAAGCATCATCCTCTATCTCAGTGATTCCCAAACGGTGTGCCGCGGCACGCTGGTGTGACGCCAGTAAGACTTAAGTGTGCCGTGAGATTTGAGAGTTGACAAAAAAAGCTAAAAAACTAAAAGTAAAAAACTTAAAAACAAGAGGGAACGTCATCTCTCAGTGGAAAACGAGCTGAGAGTTGCACTATCACGCCTCGTATCAAACTGCTGTGTTCAGCGAAGCAAGCACTAGTTTTCCATTGAAAGTAAGTAAATGGTTGGGTGTGCTGTGGAAAGTTCAAGTGTCCTTATGTGTGCCGCAAATAAAAAAAAGATTGGGAACCACTGCTCTATCCTACGCAGGCCACGATCATCAGTCGCGTGGGTTACATCGTTGTCATCGAGGAAAGATGCAATCGCAGGAATCAAGTATCCTGCGAATTGAACGATTGCGGATCGTTAACAGAGTGTATCAGTAAATGGGTTGGACTTGGACTTCATGCTTTGGGAGTCTCTCAAAAGACCAGATCGGAGGGGCCGATGATACAAAACTAAACAAGCATTCTCTGAATGCTATCTGAACTACTGCATGCTCACCTGCCCTCATCGAAGCGTAAATCCATAGACGATCGCGTGGAGAATAAGTGGAACCGTTGGGCCATGAATCTGAATCTTCATGAAAGAATGAAGACCCGCGAAAATATGAGTGCCACAAATGATGATGACGGGCCGATTCCTTTTCGGGACGGAGCTTGGAATGAGAGAAGTGGTTGCGACGTAGAATCTATAGCATACTTCAAGAAAAACTGAATAAAAGAGGTGAGATGAATAAAAAAGCTGAATAATTCTTTAGAAGATAAGCGAAAATTGAATAACAAGTGGGAAAAAGCACACTCGATCCCTGGAGATAGATAAACCCAGTGGCAAAGAGGTTCAACTGCTTCCAGAAAACCCTTGTTGAATGTTCCAGGCATTGCTTTTTCCTTGTTTCGGCGGTTCTTCATGCAACTCTTAAGAATATGTATATATAATGGGGTTGATCAGGAAGTACGGTTGCAAGTAGCCAACTGACTGCAGTAAGTATTGTATACCTTACTTTGTCTATCAACCTTCGTACTACCTGTTACGGTCTGCCGGGCATAGAGCCGCAAATACGTCCCCAAATACGAATACGAAACTCCCGGATCGACGCGTCGTGCATGTTTGGCTCGTCTCGGTCACTCTCAACGGTTTGTGTCGTGGTAGGACCAGGGATACTTCCAAATCGCCAGGGTCCATTCTCGCGACATGGACGCGCGAACCATCGAGGACTACCCATCGATGCCCTAATGGCACAAGTGGAGAAGTTTTAGTACTTTAGGGGTCTTGTTCTCTATGGGGATGGAATTCCTCTTTGAAACTATTATCCCTCGATACCATTTAGATCAGTATGGTTATTTCTGAATGAAGCCTTTCAATCCTTACTCAGAGGAAGAACTTGGTCACTATTTCGTAGATCATCATAGAATGTCCACTTTTTTAATGTTTGCATTCAGATATGCGAAACATCAGTTCCATAGGAATCAGGTTTGCCTGGATAAACTCGTACTGAAACTTGCTAGGAGAGTACAGTACGTGTTCAAGCGCGACCTATGCCACTAAATGTTTGGAATCGACAGCGGCGAGAATGGAAGATTCCAAGGGATCGGAGTCGCCCGGGCAAAAGAGTGCTGATCGACTCACCGATTTGCAGTAGGGCGAGAGATCCCATCGATGCTAGGAACCCTCAAGTGGAGTTCGAGAAGAGGGGAGGCATCAGCTTCCGGAAGTAAGCATCATCCTCCATCCTGCGCTAGCCTCGATCAGTAGTCGCGTGAGATCCATCCAGAAAGAGAAAGTCGGGGGAGCCGGGTATCCTCACGTTAATGACTGGGGGGATATCGTCTGCATCCCGATGAATTTCAATGCGAGTTCGAGCGAAACGATTCAGAGAAATCCGAAAGAAAGGGACGCGTGTAGAAATGTTTCTCTTGTTCGTTAATTTTAAACGGAACGATTTTGACGCACCATTGGTATAATTTTGGTGTTTCTCGTTTTGATTCAGTATTACTTTCATGTCTTTTCGACTAGAAGGCATCATCTTACACTAGACAGAAAGTATTTTAGAGTTGCTGCCAAGAAGACAGCCTCATCCCAAAAGAAAAGATCCATCCTGTTTCCATGGAGAAATGAACATCTTTGTCCTTGGGGATAACTTACGTAGGCTTATTGGGATTTTATTACCATGGGAAGAAGCTGCAGCTAGAATCTCTGCGTATTGTGCAAAAATCCCCACGAATGGGATCGAAGGCCTCATCATTGTTGACATTCTCTGCACCTCCAACCGCGAACTTCTTGTGATTTGGCAGCTGTTTTTGGCAGCCCTACATCTTTATTTCCGCGAGGGGGACAAAAAATTATTTTAGGTGACCATTCACAGGCACGCAGCTTAACCATCCTTTCTTCAACTCCTTCTGGCAGCATGGATTTATAATTTGAAGCGCTTGTCCTTAGATGAAAGGAAAGTACATCGTTCAAATAAAATGTTCATGTAAGGCATACCAAGCAGATCCTCCCCAAAGCGAGGCCAGATGGCCTCGAAAACGAGAGTTTTGCGAATTTTATGCGGAGTTTCACGGTCACATGCCTACATGTATGGAGACTATCTTTGGAGGGGGAGTAACTGAGAGACTTGACTGTGCTTTGTTCGTCATTAATTTTCATTGACACCTTCATGAAGCAAAATGAACTTAAAACAACATCAAATTGAAATTCGCGGAAAGCAATTATTCACTAATATTAATTCATGCATTTAATCCAAATTCTTTCCCAGCAAAACACGGCCCAATCCTTCTAGATTAATTTTCAATCAAGAAACTAGAAATACAATAGCTTGTATAGTCGTGAAACACTGCCCCGTGAAGCAACTTATTCTGACCTAGACTTAATATGGGACAACGTTTTTTTCTGTCTCTTGCCTCACGCGACACCTATAACTGCTTTTATGCTTGGATGATTAGAGGTTACAAGATCAGGCCTCTGCAAGCACCTCACTCGCCTCGCACGGGCAGGGAGCCGGAATGTTGGCAAGAAAAACCGCAAAAAAAGTTAGGAGAAAGGAAAAGCGAGACTCCTAATCCCGCTTTCTTCCCCCTCTGCTCATTTCCCAGCAGTGGCGTGACGAGAATTTTTGCAAATGCTGCGGTCTTAGCCCAATGACCGCTCACTCTCACTTTTATCTCGGTTGCACAGTGGTGTATCCAAGGACTCACTTTTGGGGTTTAAGGTGGTTCCACATTCCTTTCCCTTAAGAAAAATGGAGGAAGGAGTGCTAAACTCATTAGGTTGCAGCAAAGAAGGGAGGGGGGGAGGACGCGATGGGTCCACACGTCTATCGGTCGGCACGCCACTGCTTACACTGTTTTCGGATTGAATTGATACCCCCCCCCCTAGCAGCGCTTCCATCAAGTACAGGCGAGACACCTTGTGGATGGAAGGTGAAGTATTAATAGAACCATCCAAAAACCGTGCGAAGCAGCAGGCTTGACATCCAGACGATTGTCTGGAAAGCTTGTGTTTTCTCTATTCTCCACAATAGGGGGGTATCAATTCAATCCGAAAACAGTGTATATCTCACAGATATCCCCATGTCGTTAGGGAAAAGGCGAATCTCAAGTTACAGTAAGTTGCATTCCTCCATTGCATTTCTCCAGTGGGAGAAAATGCATTTTCGTATGAGAATTTCCAAGGGAAACGAAGTAGCTTCGAGTTAAAGAGAAATTCGAGATAAAGAGGTTCAAGTTATCGAGAAGTGACTGTATTTCTAATTGCAGGTATAATAGCTGACGTTCATCTATCTATCCACCAGAGGCCAGGAAGGGTCGAATTTTCCCAACGAGACCCGATCGGCCTCGATTCGAACCATGGCCGAATCGACCCGAAACCCGACGGCCGACAGAGCATTATAGGCCGGACCAGTGTTCGCGATCGGACCGACCTTTAGCTCGCTTACGTCTCTAAGCTGCAGAACTCGAGGTTTCTGCGTTTTCACCCGCATCCGATTGGAAAATGTGATCGTTGTGGCTCATAGGAATGCAATGATTGTGAATTAGTGAATTCAGTGATCCAGGGAATCAGAGGTCTCTCGTAACTGCATCTTCGAAATTCGTCGGCCTAAGGTGAGTCTCATGTCGATACTATTGGACTGAACTCCCTGAAACTAGTGCACAGGGAAATTTGAAGGGGATTGGGGCGGGATGATGGGATGCACCCAATATTACCGATTCGAAATATTGGATGCGGAAAATATCAATAGGCGCTGTAGCGCCTATTACCTTTCGTCATCTCCTTCCCCAACAAAAGTCAACCTCCTTGTATTCCTCTCTGAGAGAATGAACAGGAACGATATTTGGCATGCATCTTCCTCTCGCACCACAGAATCGCGCCAGCAAATTTGAAGCTCCATCTCCCCAGGGTTGCAGAGAACACTGAATCTCGTTTTTGGAGTATGTGAATTTTATTTTTTTTTCTATACCCCCCCCCCCCTTCCCCCTGGGTACCCACTCCTGGGGGATATTCGGAGGAAAGAGACCAACCATAAGAAGGATATTGACTTCCACTTTCCACTTCCACTTCCACTTCACTTCCACTTCGCCATGAAAAATGAAATTAGCTGTCGTTCAATTAGGCTTAGAGTGCTGGCTCTTGTACCATCCCCCAGTGTTGCTGGATACCGTGCCGAAATTATGCCAGATTCTAGACTGTTTCAACCTTCGTATTGTCGTCTGGATCTTCTGTTTCTTTTTTTTTTAACGTATGAGACATTTTTGTGCTGATTTCATGAGTTGAGCTGAGAATGAAGCGGTTGTCGATCGATGTGGTGGGATATCTTAATATCTCATCAGGACATCCCTGAAGTAACAGAATGGCGAGTACCAGGGATTGCATGCTTCTTGAAGGCAGACCTGTTCCAGATGGTTCGAGGAACTGCAGATAGGTCTAACGTTACACGACCCCGATCAGATACCTCGAAGAGTACGATTCACCTTCATTGCCCTAATTGAGAATTGAGTTTCTTTTAAAAAGAAAAAGGTAGGCGTTGGCGTGACCTGAAGGCACGTTGGTTAGGCCTCGGCCTAACGTCAGTCCCGTAGAGAGGCTCGATTTCGGGTTCGATGAAAAGGGAAAGGCATTGAAAATTGGTTTTCACATTACTACATATAACTGTATATCCGAAATGTATGCCGATACGATATGGAAGATATGCCGATGACACCACCTTGATGGTTGAAAATGAGGAAGATTTGAAGGAGCTGCTGGTGATGGTTAAAAAAGAAAGTGCAAAAGCTGGCTTGTTGCTCAGTGTTAAAAAGACCAAATTAATGTCAACTGGCTGCACCACTCAAGTAAAGACAGATGAGGAAGAAGTTGAAGTTGTTACATACTTCGTATTCTTGGAGTCGATCGTCCACATGGATGGTGATTACAGCCGTGAAATAAGGAGACGTCTGCTCCTTGGAAGAAAAGCCAAGACGAACCTGGATAAATTGATCAGATGCAGAGACATCACACTGTCGACAAAAGTACGATTAGTCATAGCCATGGTTTTTCCAGTTTCAACATATGGCAGCGAAAGCTGGACAATCAGAAAAGCTGAAAGGAAAAAGATAGATGCTTTTGAATTGTGGTGCTGGAGAAGAATGCTGAACGTACCATGGACTGTAAGGAGAAGAAACAAATAAATATTGGACGAAGTGAAGCCGAACTGCTCTCAGGAGGCATCAAGGACAAAATCGTGGCTGAAATATTTCGGCCATATAATGAGAAGACAAGACTCATTAGAAGATACATTGATGCTTGATAAAACGGAAGGAAAAAGGAGAGGACGACAGAGAACATGATGGATGGAAGCTTTCATAGAAGACACACAACTGGGGATGCAAGAACTGAAGGTGTTGGCCATGGATAGAATATGCTGGCGAGACCTTGTCCATCAGGTCACCAAGAGTCGAACACGACTAAATGTTTAAAAACACACAATGTTTTTTGGCTAATGAGTAGTGTATTACTTTTCCTTGCTCTGCCTTATATTTCATCTCTATTTTCCCATTTTTTATACCAGATTTCTAAGCATACCTCAATAATTTTGTATGAATGAAATCATTTCGCGAGTAACGAGAGCGACTCGACGCATTTCCTGACCTTGGACGAAAGTTTCGGGCAGACTAATGGAGAGAGGGGTAATTCTTGCATCGCTGGAAGACGCGTGTGTGAAGGGCACCTTGGTCGGGGTTCCGCGGCTTGGGCTCGTCCTCGTTGCCGTCCGGTCGTTCTCCAGTACAGCTACAGTTCCCGTCGCAACTGGGGCTGATGTGGTCGTGGTACGCTCGAGAAACCCGACCTTCTGCGATCGAACCGCCCAAGGAGCATGTTCACGTAAACAAGATATCAATTTTTTGCAAACAATGTAAATTTCTTGCGATTGCCATGAAAATGACATCACGTTTACGCAAAATTTACTTTCCTAGGAATAGGAGATTCTCTTCAATGGTATTGATTGACTCTTTAAAATCGCATGAATGCAAGGGGAAAGTTAACATAAATCTTACGTAAAATGAATGTAAACATGCTGTTTGGAATGCAAACGGGAATGTCAAATTTACGGAAAATTTGTTAATTTTATATCACCGTTTGCGTATGACAGAGGTGACATTTCTGCAAACATGTTGACATTTTCTTAACAATGGTTTGCGTAAAAATGATATAAAATAGAAAACAAATTTGCATTCATTTT